ATAGTACTGAGAGCCTCCAAACCTTTAATAGTACTGACTTGATTATCTCACTTACAGGGAAAACCTTGCAGCAATCCAGTAGCAGTGTCCACAAAGGTTAATTCATATTTATTTCCTAGGCTTACAGGGAGAGGTCCTGTATAATCCACTTGGTAAGTCCTTGCTAGGTGGACAGTCCTTTTGTGTCCTGCTTGCTATGGTCTATAATCGTGAACTTGATAAACAGTTTGTAACAGTTATTAGGGTCACTATATTTTGGGGGGTTTTTTTGGTTGTTTTTTTTTGAGTTGGAGTCTCACTCTGTCGCCCGGACTGGCGTGCAGTGGCCGCTCCTGGCCACCGCAGCCTCGACTTGCTGGGCTCCGGCGATCCTTCCGCCTCAGACTTCCAAGTAGTCGGAATTACAGGCATGCGCTACCATGCCCAGCTGATTTTTTGATTTATTGTAGAGAAGAGGTCTCGCTGCCCAGGCGGATCTCGAACCTGTGGGCTCGGGCAATCCACTCACCTCAGCCTTCAAAGGTGCGAGATTATAGGCTGAGGCACCGAGCCCGGCTAGGGTTACTATATTTTAAGGGCATTTCTTCCTTCTTGACTATCTACCAGCCAACACCTGCACTTCTGTGAATACTTTTGTTATGTACTCATGTTGCTAGTTCAGCAGCTAGCATGATGCTTCTAATTCTTTTTAGGGCGTCAGCCTCTATATTTCCTGGAACTGAGTATTTTTTGTATGTGGCCACATGAAATACAGTTAAATCAGCTGCAGGGTATTGCTGTTTCAACTGCAGGGTATTGTAGCTTCTCCCATATGTCTTGTCACATGTTCATGCCCCATATGGGCCTGTGCATAATCATCCATTTTTCTTGTTTCCATTGTGCTGGCCACATGGTCAGGTCTTTGAGTACAGCCCAGCTATCAGTGCAAAGGACCAGGGGCCAGGGCTCTTGTGTGATTACTAAACATCCAGCTTGCAACTCAGCCCACTGACTACTCTGATATGGACCTGCATCAAACCAGATTGTCTCATTTTGTGGTTGAATAGCAACAGTGGTCCAAGTGCGGGGATTTGCCCTGCTGGAGCCATCTATATACCAATAAGGTTATCCATGATAGATAACACTCCACTTACTGTGTCAGGCACTGGAATGGGGACTTGGGGAGCAAAGGGGTGAGCTTTGTTTTGTGCATATGTAATAGGGCCTAATACGGCGGGCAATTCTGGACTTAAAGGGCTCGTTGCCAGAATCATTTGTTGCAAATTGGCATGCCATTATCCAAGGTGGCTACAGTTAAGGTAGGTCATCTAAACCTGTCTGATTTGCATGCAGGCCAGATGGGACTATCCAATGGACTTTGAGCTAGCCAGACAGTTATGCACCTTTGCCAGTTCCTCCATAGTTGCCTTATGTCAGCGTGACTTCCAATTTGTATTGTTGAATGCTGACAATCCAGACAGAGGCAGGGAGTTTTACAGACTCCCCTGAAAACAGCTTTTACTATGTACACCTTCGATCTGAATTCTCCTACTGCAGTTTGCAAAGTCTTTCCTAATAGAATATCCATGCCTGAAATGTTTTCTGTAATAGGAGAAATAAACACTATTTATGGGGCAGGAGGAGCTATTCCAACACCTAAATGTATTAAAGTCCTTTTTACCTGGGTCATTTGTCCCCTATAACGATCAGTGGCAGCCTATTGACCAGGGTGTCTTGCTGAATTTCCAAGGATTAAAGTTCATTCTGTCCCAGTATCTGCTAAGTTAAGAGTCTTCTCTCTATTTTTAGGGGAGGAGAACAGTAAACAGTGAGCTCAATATAAGGCCTCTAGTCACCCCCTATTGCTCAAACATGGGGTTGGTCTTGGCCCCACTCCAAATCTCAGGGCTGGGCTGGGATCCAGACTGAAACATTAGAATAAGGGGTTCCGTCATCTTCACCTTCTGCTGAAGGGGCAGAAGAGAAGGGGTGAAACCGCTATTCAGGCTGTATTTCCCTTCATAAGGCTACTAATACAACATCAAGTTGTTTGCTTATTTTTTCTTGGGGTTTGTTTTTCTTGGGGTTGTTTGTTTATTTTTTCTTGCTTCCAATAAACTATGCCATATTTGTGTACATGTGCCTCTTGTTGGTCCCTTTGCCTCCTCCTCTTCTTCCTGTGGGGTTTTCTTTTTCTTCTTTGTTAGCCCTTGATGGGTTTCCAAGTGCACCCTGTTCCCGGCTTTCTCTGCTTTTCCCAAATCTGCAGTGGTTTCTCCCATATCATATGCATCTCGTCCCACTATAGAACTCAACAAAGACAGCAAAAGCCCATGCCATTCTCTTGGTGTCCCTATAGCAACTTGCTTTTTCATCCTAGCAGTAAAAACTGCTTTATCAAGTTCCATAGAAACCCAAACATAGATGTCATGCTTCACTCCTAACTATTGGGGAGAAGTCCCTGAGCCTCTTTGATTGACCATCAGGAGGTCATCTCTCCTGGCACATCTCCTTCACTAGGACAAGCCTCTCTCATAGCTGGAATGATCCAGTTCATAAAAGCTATGATTCCCTGTGTTTGTCTTATGTTATGAAGGCATTGCCACAGGGCTGGGTGAGTGTGATGTTACTCGCATTTTTCTGCTTCATTCTGTGTAAGGAAATGCCATCATTGCCTTGTATCCCACAATCAGACCATCCAAGAGGTCAGCAGTTCCCTCACTAGTTGTTTAAAGGTCTTTGCATTCTGAGAGTTCTGCAGTAGTAGATTCTCTGACAGTGAGGGTCTCTTTATCAGTAGACTCCCATTTTTCTGCAGTTTTTGAACTTTCACTTTCCTTTGCACAAGGGGGCAAGCTCGCCAATGATCCTTAGCCCCTACTCATCTAGGACTTCAATGTCATCAGAGTCCTCCTCTTCAAAACAGTCCCAGGAATTCCAAGTTTTCACATCCAGTCAGGCTTAATTATGTTAGCTCTGATTTTTGGTCTTTTCCATTTCTTTCCCCCTAGGCAAACAAATCTACATGCTAACACTTCGATTTTTTTCTCTTGGTCTACAATCTTGTCTGCTAAATTGATTACAAGGAGAGAAATGCAAAGGCACATGTCCTTTTCTAGTTGCAATTCCTCCTTCAGACATCTAATTTTTGCTTCTGCTACTAGCAGGGCCTCTGCTGCCAAGTGAATGGTCCACGGAAGTGGCCAATCTACTGCAGTGGCCATCTGCTCCTTTCATTAATGCAGTGCATTATGCAGTTTTCAGTTAATAACAGCTTTAGGCAACCTGCATTTTTAGGGACTCCTCATACTTATGCAGAGATCCACAGGTGTTTAACAGATGTGCCACATGACCCCATATAGACGTGACTGGTCGCCCTGGGATTTTCCCCAAAGATGCTTCACTCCCCTTACCTGTTTCTTGGTCTCTCAGCTCCTGGCTGACACATCAAATGTTTCACCAAGAACAAACCTACCTCCAAAGGCCAAGGGAGCTGAGAAGCTGAAGAAAGAGACTGAAAAATCTAGCTTCTCAGTGAGAAATATTTAATGGAGACTT